TGATTTCTTATCGACAGGTAAGATATATATATTATTTATTTATTTTTTACATTTAAATAATAATAATAATAATATTATTATCATTATTTAAATTATTTAATACGTTGAAAGAAAAAAAAGTTTTATATTGTCGCGTTTTAGAAAAAACGACATTTTTTAAATTATTATTATTAATTCATGAATTTATTTATTTATTTTGTCCATTAATTGTGACGTCATTTTACAATAAATAATAATAATTATTATTATTATTTATTTTTAAAACGTTGAAATAATTACAAAAAAAAAATTTTTTTTCTAATTATAACATTTAAACTTTTTTCATGTGGTAAAAAAAAGAAATTTTTTTTTTTTTTTTAATTAAAAACTTATCGATAATAATAATAATAATCATTTATTTAAAATTGATGAATTTTTATTTATTATTATTATTATTATTATTAATCAATTAAAAAGTTTTATTATTTTTATTATTTTTTTGTCGATGAAAATTTAAAATGAAAATTAAGAAATATTTAAAATTGATTTAATTCGTTTATTTATTTATTTATTTTACTCGGAGAATAATAATAATAATGATAATGATAATAATGATAATAAATTTGGTAATTAATGAAACGTGTGAAATATTTCTTTTTGTTTTTGTTTTAATTAAAGTTTCACAATTCGATGAAGAATTTGAGGATTCGAATATTTTAACGTGTAAAAATCGATGCAATCAAACGTCGAATGATCTAGAAAACGAAAAATGTAGCTGTCAACAAAAATGCATACAAATGAAAAATTGTTGTATGGATTTTTTCGATTTGTGTCAGTTCAACGGTAAGTTTTCTTTTTTTTTTTTTACAAAAATTTATATTATTCCGTTCAAAAAAAAAAATTTTTTTTAATTAAAACAATTCAAACGTGAAATTTATATAAACTTTTCTTATCGAAATTTTTCAAATAAATAAATAATAAGTTATTAGGAAATTTAAAAATCCTTCGTTTTGTTTTTTCGGAATGATAAAAAATTAAATTTTCATTTCGTTGATTTGAAAATAAATTTAAATTATTAATTTAAATTTTTTTAACGTGTAGTTTCTAGTTCCACCACAACAGAATCCGAAAAAATTATTGGTTATTCCTATACTACTCCAACGCAAAAATTAACGGAAACGACAAAAACGCAAATTAAAAATAATTCGTCGGAATCAAAAAATGATGAAAATAACGAAATAGATCCTATAAAACCTGTTGCACCGCCATTGCCACCCAGGTTACCGCTACCACCGTCACCTCGGCCACCACCACCACCACCACCGCCATTGCCACCCCGATCGCCGACCATCGTCGTAAATAAAACGGAAGAAAAAATTTTTAAAACAACAAAAAATAGTCAAACGATAAAACCTACGACACCGAAATCGGGAAAAATTAACAGTAGCGTTATTTTAGAAAATGTTAATAATAATAATAATACAATTTGGAAAAAAAATATAACTTCGACAGCAGTAAAAACAACAACAGCAGTAACAAAAAAAATACAATTGACGATTCCAACGATTCGTCAACCCGTACCCGATGTTAAAGAAGTTTTAAAAAATAAAAATATTTCCGTGGTTGAAAATTCGACAGTGAAATCCATCGTCGTAACGAAAAAAATAACGAACTCGACGAAAAAATTATACAAACCGGAAATAAAATATTTCGGAAGGAAAAATTTAACGATGCAAACAACAAACGACAAAAACACAACGAAAACAACAAACGTAACTTTGGTGAAGACCAACGACGTCACGCCGATAAGAATATTTAAAAATCAAGGAGTGAGACCCCCACAACCGATCAATCCAAAACTATTGGAAAAACCTTCACTTCCGGTTATAACAAACGAATCACGATTTCCTAAGGGAAAACCAAAAGAATTTTTAGGTATGATGATATTTAATATTTACACGATTTTACAACTTGTTACAATTCAATTACAAAAAGAAAAATATTTATTTAAATTAAAATTTTTTTTTTTTTAAATTTATCGAAAAACGATGATAAAAAAAAATTTTCCCACGATGATAAAAAAAAAAAAATTTACGACCGTTATATTAATTAATTTACATTTAAATCAAAACAAAACAAAAATAAATATTCGTCCATTAAAAATTTAAATATCCGAAAACGAAAAATTTTCCGACTCTCTCATTGGTCGAAATTTTCTTTATACGTAATCCGAATTCCCATACGGAAATTAACGAGGATGATCGAACGAAAGGGTTAAAAAATCATACGTGTATTATATATATTGGATAAGGTTGTTTTGAAATTTAAGGTCATTGAACTTTTAAAGTTATAAAAATGGGGGGTGGGGAAAGAAAAAATAAATAATAAATATTTAATAACGGATTCGAAATCGTGTTTTACAATTTGTTTCACCATTTTCTTTTTTTTTTTTTAATCGATTTCGAAGGATTCGCGGGCGGGGGAAGGGGTGCGGGGGGTAAATTTATCGATTATTAATTGATCGATTTTTTTATTTAATCGGTTTAAGAATAATAATAATTTTTTTTGGGGACCGCGGCCGATTTATTCATTCATTTTTTTTCTTACGATTTATTAAACGATTTTTTTTATACGTATTTAAGTGATTTAAAGAAAATAATAATGATGATGATGATAATAATAAAAAAACAGGGGGGAAATTTTTTTTCCTGTTTTTCCTTAAGGCAAATTTTAAAAAAAATTAATTAATTTTTTTTTTTTTTCGTTACAGCTGGTAAAGAACCGCCGCAAGCGATAAAAATCGATGCGCATAAAGAAACAAGAGCAGGAACAATGAGGGGATTTTTAGAAATCGGCGGAATTTGTTGTGCACTTTTAATAATAATAATAATACTAACCGTCGTTTGGTATAAAAGAACGAAAACAAGAAAAACTGAAAGGGATAGCATGGTCGAAGATTCAGATGTGAGATTTTTAACATCAGATGAAGTTTTAGATTTTACACTTGCAAGACCTGCCGATGACGAACTTTAACCTTTTTTCCCCACACCCCAACAAAAATATAAAAATAATCATATTTCATTTAAATATTAATTAAATTTCTCCTCTCATCATCATCATCATCACCATCTATCAATCAATCAACGAAAAATTATTTATTTTCTGTAATAAAAAATTTTTTTTCTGTTTTAAAAAAAAATAATTTAAATATTTTATTTCATTGTTTTGTTTTTTTCTTATACTCACTCACGCACGCACACACGCACTCACGCACGCACACGC